CCGAGGCGGCTTCGGCGGCAGAGGAGGACGTCCAGGAGGTGGTTTCGGCCATGGAGGTGCAGCTCGCCAGGAGGGGGAGAGTAGCACAAGCGGTGGTCGAGACAAGTCCAACATAAAATGCTTCAATTGCGGAGTATACGGGCACTTTCAGTCGGAGTGTCACAAGCAACGCCGCAATCATGATCAGGAGGCTCATCTCACCCGTGCATATGACGAGGAGCCAACCTTGATGATGACTGTTTCAGAGGAATCATCAACTGTCATTCTACTCAATGAAGAGAAGGTGGTGCCAAACTTACTCACAGCGGGGGAGGCACAAGTTGCCAACGACGTTTGGTACCTTGACAACGGAGCTAGCAATCACATGACCGGCCACCGAGACAAGTTCAAGGAGCTCGACGAGAACATCAAGGGAACCGTCAAGTTTGGTGATGGATCCGCGGTAGAGATCAAAGGGAAAGGCTCTATCCTCTTTCAGTGCAACAACGGCGATCAAAGGCTACTACCTGAGGTATATTATATTCCAAGTTTGAAATCTAACATTATTAGCCTTGGTCAGATGGCTGAAGATGGGAGTAAGGTTGTTATTGCTGACGAGTTCCTGAGGGTGTTTGATAGGAACGGTGCTCTCTTGATGAGGGTGACACGTTCAACTAACGGATTGTACATGATAGAGTTAAAGACTTGCAAGCCGGCGTGTTTGATGGCGAACATTAATGATCCAGCTTGGTTATGGCATGCTCGCCTTGGGCATGTCAATTTCTTCGCCCTCAAAATGATGACTGATAAGAGGATGGCTTCCGGGTTGCCGAAGATCTTGCACCCGAATCAACTATGCGAAGGATGCCTGGTCGCCAAGCAAGCAAGACTGCCGTTCCCTTCGCAGGCAAATTTCAGAGCTCAGAAGCCACTGGAGTTACTACATGCTGACCTATGTGGTCCAATCTCCCCATCTACACTTGCGGGTAACAGATACTTCCTTCTTGTTGTTGATGATTTCAGCCGATGGATGTGGGTATATATGTTGAAGGCCAAGAGTTAAGCTTGTGAAACCTTCAAGAAGTTCAAGACAGAGGTTGAGAACTCATGTGACCACAAGGTGAAGACATTGAGGACGGATCGTGGTGGCGAGTTCTTGTCAAAGGAGTTCACCACATTGAGGACGGATCGTGGTGGCGAGTTCTTGTCAAAGGAGTTCACCAAGTTTTGTGAAGACTACGGCATAAAGCGTCATCTCACTGCACCGTACACCCCTGTCAAAGGAGTTCACCAAGTTTTGTGAAGACTACGGCATAAAGCGTCATCTCACTGCACCGTACACCCCACAGCAAAACGGTGTAGTGGAGAGGTGAAACCGCACGGTGATGGCCATGGCGAGAAGCTTGCTTAAAAGCATGCATATGCCCGGAACGATGTGGGGCGAAGCGGTTAGACACGCAGTGTACATACTCAACCGACTACCAACCAAGGCATTGCACGACCACACACCCTACGAAGCTTGGTTTGGTAAGAAACCCCACCTAGAACACTTGAGAGTTTTCGGATGTGTGGCGCATGTGAAAATTGCAGGTCCTTCACACAAGAAACTCGACGACCGGAGCACGCCAATGGTGTATATTGGGGTAGAAGAAGGAAGCAAAGCGCATCGCCTTTACGACCCTCAACACAGCAGAATTCATGTCAGCAGAGACGTCGTGTTCGAGGAAGGAAAAGAGTGGGAATGGAGCGCCGATGGAGTCGAAAGATCACCTAACTGGACGGAGTTCACAGCGGAAGAGGAGGATGCAACTGTCGGCGAGTTTCCAGCCGTCCAAGCTGGACAAACAGCAGCCCGAACTGCTGCTGCTGCTGGTCGCGCTGCTGCTGGTCGCGCTGCTGCTGGTCAGTCAAAACAGGCCGCAGCTAGTTGCAGATGCAGGAACAGTCGCTGCAGCAGTTCCTGGACAACCTGCAGGCCGAACCAGTCCGCATACACCCGCTGGTGCAGCAGGCCGAACCAGTCCGCAACTTCCTGCTGGTCCAGAAACTGCTGCAGAGGCAGCAAACCCCACTGTCTTGGATGCGTTCGGACCCCCTGAAGCTGTAGTGATGACTCCTGTACGCTATTGATCCCTTGCGGACATCTATGCGGAGACGAAGGTGATTGATCTCCCTACAGAGGAGTTGTTCCTGATCACTGAAGAACCCACGAGCTACATTGAGGCTGCAACAGATCAAGAATGGCGGACAGCTATGGAGAAGGAATTGGAGGTCATCGAGAAGAATAAGACTTGGGTACTCACGGAGTTACCGCAGGGTTCCAAACCCATTGGTCTCAAATGGGTGTACAAGCTGAAGAAGGACAATGAAGGCAACATTCTCAAGCACAAAGCAAGACTTGTAGCAAAAGGGTACGTCCAGCAGCAAGGCGTGGACTTTGATGAGGTGTTTGCACCTGTGGCGGGACTTGATACCATCAGAATAATCCTCGCTATATCAGCACAGAACGGGTGGGAGGTGCACCATTTGGATGTGTCTCCAGGAAGAAGTGTATGAGGCTCAACCTGAAGGGTTCGTTGTGAAGAATCAGGAGCACAAGGTCTACAAACTTTCAAAGGCACTCTACGGTCTACGCCAAGCACCTCGGGCATGGAACACACGCCTCGACAAGTGCATGAAGGGCATCGGATTTGCAAGATGTACTCAGGAGCAGGCGGTATACACCAGGAGTAACAGAGGGGATACACTCATTGTTGGCGTGTACGTGGATGACTTGATCGTTACGGGCTCAAGAGCGGATGAGATAAAGTTTTTCAAGCAACAGATGATGAAGGAGTTCGAGATGAGTGACCTTGGATTGCTTTCCTATTATCTCGGTATTGAGGTGGATTAGCGAGATGATTGCATTGCACTAAGGCAGGCGGCCTATGCGAAGAAGGTTTTGGGTCAGTTCGGCATGATGGATTGCAACTCGACTCAATATCTCATGGAAGCAAAGCTAAAGCTTGGAAAGGATTCTGAAGGAACACCGGTGGACGTGACGGAGTATAGACGCATTATCGGATGCTTAAGGTATCTAACTCACACCCGACCCGATATCACATATGCCGTGGGGATTGTGAGTAGGTACATGGAGCACCCTACAGTTTTGCATAGACAGGTTGTCAAGCATATTTTGAGGTACGTGAAGGGTACTATATCCTACGGATTGGTGTACAAACGAGGTCGAGGCAATGAAGAGTTGGTGGGATTCACTGACAGTGATATTGCGGGAGATATTGATGACAGGCACAGTACAGGCGGCATGGCTTTTTATCTAGGTGACAGCTTGGTCACTTGGACATCACAGAAGCAGAAAAGCAAGCATATTGACACACGCTTTCACTTCATTCGTGAGTGTGTTGAGCGAGGACAGATTAAAGTGGAGTACGTGAGCACGAGCGAGCAACGAGCGGATATTCTCACAAAGGCACTAGCAAGGGTGAAGTTCATCGAGATGCGGGAGCTGCTAGGAGTAAGGGACTTGGAGTCTCGTCCAGATTAAGGGGGAGAATGTGAGTTTGTTAATCAGTCCGGATTGTTAGTTTGAGTTCAAGTTAGTAGATAGAATTCTAGTTAGAATAGAATACTAGTTAGTAGATAGTTTTCTAGTTATTGGATAAGAATTGGAGTTGTAATCTTATCTATATATACATGTAATACTCTTCATGAAAGTAGAACGTGAATAAATCTTTTGAGAGGTACCTGCTCCTTCTCTGTTCGTGTTCATCATCAGAAACAGAGAGTTTTTTTTAGAGAAGAAAATTTCTGCAGAAAACGTCCCCTGTTCTTGCTGTTTGTTCTCCCTAAAATCAGCCTACAAAATCTTTGGTTACAGGTTTCTTCTAACTTAGTTTCAGGTCTGATCTCTGGCCGATCCTGTTCAGAAGCCAACACAGAATACATTGAAAAGTTTGCCAAAGCTAACGGAAAGAAGATTTTATCAGTTGGATTTGTGATGAGAACTCGGCTAATATTTACCATAAGAGGGAACAAGAACTCAATCGACTTTGATCAATGCCAAAACTTTGAGTAGAATTATTTTGTAATGTTTGGGTTTTATCTTACCTAGTTTTAGACTCCTACCATTGTGTGATATGTTGAAATTTCAGCTTTCAGCTTCCCTTAAAATTCCTCATGGTTCATATTTTGCTCGTTCTCTTAGAAGTGATTGTTTTTTGTGTTATCATGTTAGATACTTCTCTCGTCCAATAGGTTTTGTATTTGAAGTTGCATTTATACACTACAGATGATGCTAATTTGTGTTTTCTAGGAATTGTTAGCATCTTACCCCTCAGAAGTTAGAAGCAGTTGTCCACCAGCCCAACCCCTAAACGCACACGGTAACATAAAATTAAAAAAAAAAGTTTCTCTTTCTTCGCAGAAACTTTGGTGCTATTAACACTGACTCACAATTACAAATGGGTTGGGTGTTGATATCCAAAGATCTACCCAAAATGTTCCCTTGATATGAAAACTATTGTTGTTGCTTCCATGCTCCTAACTAAGAAAATTTGTCGCAAGAAATGATGGATTTACAATAGTAAATCACATAACGGAACGCAGTCAAATCAAAGAGACGTCCTGTCTCAACTATTTCCAAATTCCTGAACTGCATGGAAAAACATAAATTCATGAACCTGTAGACTTTTCCACGTTGACAGGTTTGCATATCAAAAGTCTACAAATCAGGCTACCAGGCTTAATGAAAGCAAATGATCCATATGAAGCCTTTATTCTGTATAATCATACATCAATGTTAAAACTCGACAAGCATCATTACAATATACACTCTACAAATCGTCGCTCAATAAAAGAAGATTTCTTAATTGTTAATCAAAAAGCTTTGCCAGCTAAAAATTTGAGGGAGTAGTTGCCAAATACAACTCCTCAGCGAAGAAAACTACAGCTTAATTACTTCTCTCAAATAGAGATAGCTCCATTTATGAAATCGACAAGTCACCAGTCAAATACAAAGGAAAGCAGAAAAGAACTTCTCTTTTGCTTGTTTTCTGGTCTAGTTCACATCCAGAAAATAGATTAACGGTACAAGGCCCCTCTGCTTGAAATATAAGTACTTCATAAATGTCAGGATTGTGGAAATATATTCATGGAAACTTCTCAATACAAAGCCGATGAAACAAAAAATAACCCAAGATACACATGGAACCAGCTAATTGTCACCAAAAAGATACTGATCCAGACATGCAAGTACTGAGCAGAAAATTAATAGCAATTAGAAGTCATAAATGATTCAAAGGTGAAGTTTTGATAAATGTCACTCATTCTTTGGATGATTTGTTTATGAGAGACTTGTGAATATGAGGAATAACACCACCTCCGGCTATTGTCCCTTTGATGAGGGTATCAAGCTCCTCGTCTCCCCTAATCGCGAGCTGAAGATGTCTTGGAGTGATTCTCTTAACCTTGAGATCTTTGCTAGCGTTGCCAGCAAGCTCCAGCACTTCAGCAGTGAGGTATTCGAGAATAGCTGCAGAGTATACAGCAGCAGTAGCTCCAACTCTACCATTTGCTGCAATTCGAGACTTCAGGAGACGATGGATACGACCAACAGGAAACTACAAAAGGGGTAAACAATAAAACTAGAATAAAAAAAAAATCCAAACTATCTAATTATGATTATTACAGTTCAGAACAGATTTCTTCTAAGAAAAAGTAATATATGTGGAGAATGCAGAAGATATGGATATCTATGGAAATATATGAAAATGTATCCTACAAGATGTGGATGCAAATACAGATATTAAGTATCTACGTTCGCTAAGACGTGGATATCTTTTTAAATTTTAAGTTTTTTGATAGTATATGGATAATGATATGAATATGAATAAAAAACATGGATCATACCTAGACATCCAGATACAGGCATCAACTCAGACCATTGAAATTCCAAATGTGTAATAGTAAGAAAAGAAACAGAAGGGAAACATTCAAATACTTGAGTGAGAAATTCAAACAATCTATTTGATTACGCTTGTGAGTACACTTTTTACATAACTAGAATCAGTAGCTCAGAGTTATGTTGGATGCATCGAACCAGAGCTTGTCCCTTTTTTTTCTTTTTTCTTTTTGTTCTCCTCCACAAGGAAAAAATAAACTGAATTCAATAACATTGAATAACAAAGAACAAATAGTTCATTTATGAATCAAGGATTATTCACAGATACACCCCTGTATTATGATGATGTAGTTACTTACACATCCTAAACTATTTTATTAACACTTACATCCCCAAAACTTCAGACTAAGTTACTTTCCAAGTTAGAAGGAGATGTCACCTTGAATAACATCGATACAAAGACTAAATGGTAATCCAAATGAGTGCGAAATGGTAACATTGTCTGAGATCCAGGAGGTGTATGCGCTAATAAAAATTTTAGGGAGCTATAATTGGCTACATCATCTAAGCGGGGAGAGTATATGCAATGAACCCATAAATCAATTACTACATTAACTTCATAAATAGCTAGTTGATTTTGTAGCTTTTAAAGAATGTTTGCAGATAGTAAAACCCACTGATTATTAATTCCTAAGTTAAAGGTGAAAAACTACCTAGAAAGAAATGGCGATTTAAGTAACTTGCTGATGACAACGCTAGCAAGATTCAACTAGAAACCCAAGTCCAAGGGAACCAATTACAAAAAGATGTCCTTAGAGGTGTTGCAAGCA